ATTTATTCAGTTTTGTTATAATCAGACATTTCATTCTTAAAAGGTAAAAGCGGAAACTTAAAATAAAATTATAATACTCATTTGTGTTTTTATTATTTTGGTCATTAATAATGAAAAGTTATCAAATTGTGTAAACGTGTTGAACAGAATGATGTGATAATTTTTGTTTCTTACGACTTAAGCTAAAAAGTACTAGTTAACGAGATATTGTGAAGCGCGTCATTACCTCGTGTATCTCAATCATTTAAATCGGTTATAATGCCTGCTTAATAAGAATTCTTACCATTTTTAATGACTTACACTGCACATACACCTAAAAAAATGAAAAAAATTGAAACACGTATTGTTTTTATTAAACATTTCAAAGTAACAACACAAGTCATAACAATACACAATATAAACATACTTTTGGGGCTGTGCAACAACTTGACACCTTAATCAACTTAGCATCTAAAAACTGTAATATAACCAATAAATGTCAATAATATTAATTTTAAAACAGTTTAATAAAAGATAATTTATTGATGCTACATATAACAATGATTGACACTTACATAGAGATTATCATAATAAGACCCATCAATATACATTACTCCATTCTATAAAAAAAATGGATTAATTTAGTACTTATAATTGAAGTAAAAGTTATGATTAATACAAGATGTCACAAAATAATTAAATAGAAAATATTTTATCCAAATTATTAAATTAAAAATTTGATTTAAATTACTCTGCCAATTAAAAGTTTATTTCCAAAAACATCTCCAAAAAAAAAAACAAAAATTAACACAAAGAAATTCAATTTATATAACATTTTTCGGAATATTATGATTAAATTATTATTGTACTAATTTATATCTTAGAATATATTGTATCATTTTCCATTAAAATTTTGCATTTTTATAGGTATTTAAGCAAATATGTGAAACATATTTTTTATTTTTTATTAATAGCGTATTTTCAGGTATTCCACAACAAATATGTATAAATTATTTAATTAGTCATGCAAAATGTTAAAAAAAAAATGCTATTTAATTTTACGCTTTTAACTTTCTAAAAATAATAGATTGGTTCATAATAAAACATAAAACTATATGCTGGGCTTAAAAATCCATTGTACCAACATTTTATATGACATTGATTAAAATCACTGCCCTTAAAATTGCTCTGATGTGAATCTGTTAAATTTCATAATTTATATATTTGTAAATTTACAGATTCAATTTGAATAATAAATTATTAGATACAATGAAAATAACGTTATTTTGTTTTTAATGCAGCCGATTTCTATTAGTAGAACAATCGTTATTATTATTATTATTATTATTGATGGATATATGCCCAAATTGGGCTCAGAACAGTTTACATAATCAATACAAGTAAGATAACAGATAAAAAAACAAAATTACAAATTTATATCAATTAATACAGAAAGTTATTATAAAATCATTGATAAACAAGGAAATTAGAAATAAAAAACGACATAAACTTAAATTAATTAGCCATAAGTGATCAATTTTAATTGTATAATTACATTAACATCTACAAATACATTAACGATTTTAACCTGGCTAAGTTATCATAAAAAAAATCCAGCACAGGGCGGTCGCGGCACAGTGGTGACGTCGCATAGTTCGATCAAGTATAATGATATCTAACAGTGATTAAAATCACCATAAAAGAAAAACGCTTCGATGCAAATCTCTAGATAGTCTTTAATTTTAAAAAATTGGTGGATTATTCCAATATGATCTGTTAGTTCCTTATTAATATCTTGATTAAGATAAAGTATGTCAAATGAAAAAGGGTTTATTAAAAAATATTATATCTCATAAAAAAATTGTGTTGATCCATACACTTTTCAATAAGTTATAGCATTTTGAAGTAAAAAATGTAAAATATAAAATCGAGAAATTTCACACAAAAATAGCATTCGGTAGCCATTTTCACCATGAAGACAAGTCCAGAGGTCAAATTTTTTTTTTTTAAATTAAAGTATATAACATTAGCTTTAATTTAAGATATATATAAAAGTGTCAGACCTTCCGGAACATTTTCAAAAGTTAAGTTGAAAAAGTTAATTTTTTGTGAAAAAGTTGTCATTTTAAATCCCCCCCTGTGGGCAGATTAAGTGTNAGTTGTCATATTAAATCCCACCTGTGGGCAGGTTAAGTGTCAGATTTACAAAAAATATATACCAAATGATAGATAAAGATATCAAGCATCTATGAAAAAAAAATTATATTGATATGTTCATTGTTGAAAAAGTTACGGCATTTTTTAGTAAAAAAAATTTCGAAAATTTCGAAAATTAGCGATTTTTAAATTTGTAATTTTTTTGGAGGTTTCCCTCATTTACAAAAGCAAACTAAAAAAAAAAAGAAATCATATTATCTCTAGTCAACTCTATTAAATTGGATCAGTGTTAGAAAAAGAAAAATTAGCGATAAAATGCAGACATATATATATATTTTTTTTTTGAAAATGCCATTTTTCATGATAGTGTAATTTTGAGAAATATTTTTCAACATCTAAAATGTAGATATTTTTTTCAAACTTTCGATGCTGTTAAGTCGAATAAGATTAAAATTTGTTTTTTTTTTATGTATTGAACATTAAAAGGTGTAAGGAATGAATATGAAAAATACTTAATGAATGATAAATGACACAGTCANTTTTCACCATGAAGACAAGTCCAGAGGTCAAATTTTTTTTTTTCAAATTAAAGTATATTACATTAGCTTTAATTTAAGATATATATAAAAGTGTCAGACCTTCCGGAACATTTTCAAAAGTTAAGTTGAAAAAGTTAATTTTTTGTGAAAAGTTGTCATATTAAATCCCACCTGTGGGCAGGTTAAGTGTCAGATTTACAAAAAATATATACCAAATGATAGATAAAGATATCAAGCATCTATGAAAAAAAAATTATATTGATATGTTCATTGTTGAAAAAGTTACGGCATTTTTTAGTAAAAAAAATTTCGAAAATTTCGAAAATTAGCGATTTTTAAATTTGTAATTTTTTTGGAGGTTTATCTCATTTACAAAAGCAAACTAAAAAAAAAAAGAAATCATATTATCTCTAGTCAACTCTATTAAATTGGATCAGTGTTAGAAAAAGAAAAATTAGCGATAAAATGCAGACATATATATATATTTTTTTTTTGAAAATGCCATTTTTCATGATAGTGTAATTTTGAGAAATATTTTTCAACATCTAAAATGTAGATATTTTTTTCAAACTTTCGATGCTGTTAAGTCGAATAAGATTAAAATTTGTTTTTTTTTTATGTATTGAACATTAAAAGGTGTAAGGAATGA